TGAGGTGGGCAAGGGTGGCAGGGACCTAACCCCTCTGCTGAGGGTGCTGGGGTTATTTGGCTGGGGAAGGGTTTGGGCACTCCTGGTGACCCTGCTCATGTGGCTGGTGGCATTGTCCCTCACCGGGGCGGTGGCACGTCCCCCCCACAGGCGTCCACAGCCCCCTCGCTCTGTCTCCCGCAGCCCTCTTCACCGAGACCCCCCACGACATGACGGCCCAGGCGGGCGAGGACGTGGAGATGGCGTGTTCCTTCCGAGGCAGCGGCTCCCCCTCCTACTCCCTTGAGATACAGTGGTGGTACGTCCGCAACCACAAGGACTGGACGGACAAACAGACGTGGGCTTCCAACCAGGTAATGCCCCTTGTCCTCCCCCTCCGGCAGCAGCATGGGGAGGCAGAGCCCTTCCCCGCGCTCGCCTGGGGGGCTTTGCTTGCAGCAGCTGGAAGGGTGCAGGGGGGACCCCATCCCACAGCAGTGTCCCCAGCGCTGACTGGACCTGCAGACAGCAGGATCTCACTCCCCTCTGCTCTGTTCTTGCGGGGAGAGCAGAGTCTGGGGGTCCCAGGCCCACCCGTGGGGTGGACAGTGTCCAGCTGCACCGAGGATGCTCAGAGGCGCGGGGCCGGTGAGGATGGATTGTCCTGGCCGCCCTTCCCAATTAGCCAAGGGCCACGTGGCCCATCCCCTGGGACTGATCCCAGAGGCTTTGTCTTTGTGCTTGTGCTTTCTCCCATCTCATCACCAACCCGTCCCCTTGCCTCCCTCCCTGCATCCCCCGCCCCTCCTGCCCTCCCTTGTTTTCCCCATTTCCGCGTGTATCGGTCTCGGCAAACAGCTGTCTCTTTATTTCTCTTTCTGTTCACACAGAGATAAGGGCCAAATAATGGGAAGGCAGCTTTAGGTATTTTAATGAGCCGTTATTATTGTGTCTTTGGCAGAGCTGCTACTGGTATTACCATAAATTGAGAGGAGCATCGGGGAAGCGCTGCCGCTCGGGAGCACTGCTGGGGGGGCCAGGG